GCCTCTACCGGCAGAGAATTCGGGCACTCGCCTGGGCCGGGCTGCCACCCTCCCGACCCCGGGGCGGCGGCTGAGCCGGCCCCAGAACCTCCACCCCACGGACAGCGAGGGCGGCCCTTTCCCCAGCCCGCGTCCACGTTAACTGTAGCCCGACGTCACCAGCCTCAGGCTGGAAGGGCCGCCCACGAGAGTCGCCGGCCCGGCCAGGCCAAGCCTCGTGGGGCCAGGTCGGGCCGGGGGCGGGTCAAGGACCGCCTCCCCACACCTTGGCGCTGCCGGAGGACCGTGGCCGGAGGCCCGGCGCTCCTCACGCCGCCCCGGGTCCCGCAGAGAAAGGCCGGGTCCAGGCTCCCGCCCGTCAGACGTGGGGCCGGTACCTGAGAGGGCGCGGAAGAGGCGCGCGGCCGGCAGCAGCAGGTAACACAGGCACGACGCGATCATGGCCGGCCCCCGCGCCGCCCTCCTTGCCGCCGCCCGCCGGGTCTTCCTCAGCTCGGCTCGCCCCGCCCCGCGCCGCGCCGCCACGCCCCGCCCCAGCCGGCCCACGTGTGCGCCGCCCGCATCAACAACTTTATTGGCAGCGCAGCCGCAGTGCGCCGGCAGGGGAGGGGCTGGTCGAGGGGGAGCGGGCTCCGTGGCGACGCGCCTGCGGGTCTGGGGGTTGGAATGAGTGCCTAGCTGGGACTGTCTTTCAGAGGCCATACTTTAACTCCTACTTCTGCCACTAATTAGGTGTCTACCTTGGGGCCACTATATGCCCTTTCTGCCCTTCAGTTCCCTCATCTGTGATACGGAGAGCTGGATTTTCTCTGAGGCTCCTATAACCCCAATTTCTATAATCAGGCTCTCAGCCCAGAGAAGAGAGGGAGCCAGCTTTTCCCGTTTTCCCTCCACCCCTTCCTGCCTTTACTGACTTCCCCAGTTGAGGTTTCTAAATAAAAATCGAGAGATTTTTATCTCCTTCCTGCCTGTTCCAAATGGACCTTCTTGTCCCTAATCTTGAAGAAAGGGGGAGGGGGGTCCTCATTGATAAAGGTGGGTGGAAGAAGGGAGGGAGGAAGGAAAGAAAGGGATCCACAGGCCAGAGACCAAGTGTAACTGGTGCTTGCTTACCCAAGGTGTCTCTCTGGTGCCTAATACCATTCCAGGCACTTGGTGAAGACAGATGATGGAGCGAAGTGTACCCCCCCCACACACACCACCAAATGAAGGCCAGTTCTTCCATGGATTCTGTGCTGCACAGAGCCCTGGGTGTTTCTTCCCAATCCCTCACCCTCAGTCTTCTGCCCCAACCACGCCCGGAAGAAGAAAGGACTATATGATACACCCACTTTCGGTACCCATTGTCTGAGCTGTGCGATTTCCAATTTGTGGTTGGAGCCTCGGTTGTTCAGGGATGCCCTCTGGCGAGTCACCAGATCCTGGACCCGCTGGGTACATCATAACACTGAAGGGCTAAGAGAAGGAAGGAGGAGAGAGTCAGTAGCTTGGCCTTCCCCCACGCATACCCTTAGCTCCAGCTGTAGCAATGCCTGCCTTCAGCTGGCACCCTTTGAGATGAACCAGAGGCCTCAATCTGAAGGCTGTAATCGTGGTGACTCCAGGGATTGAGGCAGGGGGATCGCAAGTTTAAGACCAGTCTCAGCAATTGAGTGAGACACTCAGCAACTTAGCGAGAACTTGTCTCAAAATAAAAAGGACTGAGGATGTAGCTTAGCTGTAAAAGCACCCCTGGGTTCAATCCTCCCCCACCCCCAAAATAAATAAATAAATAAAAGCAACACACAAATGTGAGCTCTATCTAAGGAACCCCCAGGTCATGACTTCCTTTCTCCTGGCTTAAGTAAACCCTCTGTACCCTTCTTCCATTTTTGTACCAATAGTTACCAAGAAGTCCAAGTTCCAAATCAGATCTTAACTCAAAAGTACTTACCTGGAAACTATGTGTATCATTTTGTGAATTAATGGTTCTAAATGGGAGATGTTCTAAAATGCAGATTTCTAGGCCCTCCTCCTAGAGTTCTGCTTTTACATGTCTGGGATGAAGCCCTTTAAAACACTGTCATTCCGTGGTACAGACTGGGAACTTGTGCTAAAGTAGCTAGCCTCAGCGGGGGCAGCTTGATGCATAGTAGGTATACCATAGCAAGCTGCCTGATGACTTGTTCCTTCAAAGGCTTCTTTTATTTTTGTTTCCTGAGCCTAATCAATTATGTTGGAAAGTGTAGGGTGACATGAGAATCACAAGCTTCGGAATTAGAGCCCAGATCCTAGTTCTGCCACATTTTACCCAGGGACCTCTCAGATAACCTAACCTCTTAATCCTTAGTTTCGTTTTCATGGCTGACCCAGGGTAGCTCTCAGTGTTCAGTGTTATGTTGTTTGAACTTGGACAGAAACCAGCACTGGCCACTGTAAACGTAGGGTCTTCTACAATCCCTGGCTGAAATAAGGCTCCTGCCCTCCAAATTGCAATATGGCATTGCTAAGCAAACTAGTAACTGAAGATTCCAAGGACTTGGCCCAGGGAAGTGCAGCCTCAGGCTTCCTCAGTCAAAGGAAAGTTACAAATATGATCTGCACTGTCTCTAGCTTTGACATGTCAAAAAATAATCCAGAGAGGGATGAGCCTCTGTGTTCATCCAGGAGTGATCTGCATTCATCATTAGCATGGTTGTGAGATGCAGAACCTCCCTAATGGGACAAGGGGGAGCTTTTATAGTACTTCTGAGGGACTTAAAGTGTTCTTTTAAAGAGGAATTTTCTACATACAGGAAATGTAAGCCCTTGAGGGTTCAAATTGTGCTTATGACAAAAGGTAGCTAGGAAAATTCAACAAGGTGGCTGCCTGTATTAACTTATCAGTTGGACCTGTGCAATTCTCAGGAGGCTACAGAATTCTTTCAGAATTTCAGATGCTACAGACCAAAGCCTGGGGCAGTACTGTCCAAAATAAAAGTAATGTGAACCACATATGAACTTTTTTATTTATTATTTATTTATTTACTGGGGATTGAACCCAAAAGTGCTTTACCACTGAGCAACATCCTCAACCCTTTTTATTTTGAGTCAGGGTCTTAGTAAGTAGCCCAGGCTGGCCTCAAACTTGTGCTCCTCCTGCCTCAGCCTCGGGAGTCGCTGGGATTACAGGCATAAGCTACCACACCTGGCTCCCATCAACTTCAGAGAAGTAGAAACACAAAATGTAAACTTTATTGGCTGGGGTTGTGGCTCAGCGGTAGAGCGCTCGCCTAACATGCGCGAGGCACTGGGTTCAATTCTCAGCACCACATACAAATAAATAAAATAAGGGTCCATCAACAACTAAAAAATGTTTTTAAAAAATCTCCAATAACTTCCTTCTGCTATTCAGTTGCATTTGAGTCTGTCCCTGAAATTACTCTGCCTCTCATGGTCTCCCTTTCCCTGTTCCTCTTGGCATCCTGCACTCCCAGAAATGCCCTATTCCCAGACTCTACTTATCCAGAGCAAGCTTCCCAGCAGGGAAACTCCTCCCTTCCCCTGGGCTCCCAGGGCACTCACCTTATAAGACATTTCAATTTCCAGTGCTGTGCTAAGACCTAGGCCAGCGGTCCTATGCGCCATGGCTGTTTGAAGTACCTTCCTCCAGATTTCCTAACTCACCTTTCAATGCCTGAGACTGGATGGTGCTGTCAAGTGGCGCCCAGACCAGGACCCCCATACTCCCTGGTCCCTTCCTTCTGCTCATTAATTCTGCTTTCCTGTCCTCTACACCCTTGTGGGGCCAGTCAGAGGTGAGGAGCTCCAGGACTTATATCCTCCAGATCATCCTAGGAGCTGAGCACCCACTCAGCCTTCTTGGTATTACTCTCAAGGAACTGTGTGAGATTGGGACACCAGGGGTACTCTCGTGCTGATATAGGGTGACTCAAATTCTTTATATGAACAGGAATTCTTCCAGAAATATATGTTCAGGATCCTCCCCTAGGGATGGTCTTGTTGACTACCTCATGTCACACTTCTCTTAAAAGGTCCCCATCTGGATCACAACCTCGTCCCACCCACCAGGGTGCTTATCTTCGTGCCTTGTAACATAGAAGATGCTCAGCAAGTGTTTTTCAACATGAACGTCCAAAGGAAGGAGTCACACCTCGGGGGCACGTGTTTCTTTTGATCCATGATTCTGTGTTTTTCCTATACACATTTCTAGATTGTCATCGTTCCTCTGAGTGGCACAAAGGGATTCTCACATCCCCCAAGCCCTCCACTCACTGACCTGACAGTTGATGTGCCGAAAGTTTATCAAGAAGGAACAAACGCGCCTCCAGATTCTCTTGACAGCAAACTGCAAGTGAACTTCAACTCCAGGGCATGTGAAAACCGCTGAGCCCGGGGCTGGTGGTTGCCTGGTCTCAAGTTAGGCAGCCCAGGGGTTGGGGTTGAACAGTGCTTTGGCTGCAACAAACTGTAGTGATAGAACATATGTTTCTCGTGCTTTGCTTTTGATCTTCTGCTCCAAGGTCGAGGATGCTCTCCCAAGGGGGGAAGAAAAAAGGAAGAGGAACCGAGTGGGAGAAAACTGACTTCACACATCACTGAAATACTTCGTACCCGAAGCACAGTCACCCTGAGAGAAGAACATGGTGGCAGCTCTTCACGGTCACCTGATTAAGGGCCTTGAGTTTGGTCCTGACTCAGAGGGAAACACACCGCCACTGAGAGGCCCCCCCACAGCACCCAAGCACTCACAGCCAAGCCTGGGCTTGGCCCCAGCGGACATATGAGAAAAAGATGACCCCTAGAGCCACCAGGCGGGCGGGAATCCTGCTGTTGCCAGGTCCACCTACGTGGATCACAATTACTGCATGAGGTCATGGAATGTTGAAGATGAAATGAAAGGTGGCTCCTAAGTCATAAAGTTGCAGGCGGGTGGGCATCCTTTCCACAGGGCTCTCAGGAACAAAGCTGATGAGCAGGGGGAGTTGCTACCTCTCCCAGACAGAGATGGGATCACACCCATGCATGTCCACATCCTCCCAAAGCCTGCTCTCCCCGATGCTTGCTGGGTTGGAAGGGTAACCGTAGCCCCCCCCCCCCCAGGGTTTGCCTATGCAAAGGCAGGAGGCCCAGTTTGACACAGAGGTGAATGGACAGGTGCACTTCTTAGTGAAGCAACGGAGAGGTGGCCAGAAGCTGGCAGCAGCCCTCAAGAGAGTCTTAGCAGCATGGACCATGATGAGGAGCCTCTCGAGTCCAATTCAAAAGGTGACACTCAGTGATCACAGGGACCTCAGAGCCCTCTCCCCTCTCTCTGCCTGGTTCCCCCCAGAATTGGCAGGATGCACTACACTGACTTGGGATCAGGGCTTGGCAAAGAGTGAGATGGTTAGATGCTGTTCTGGGACTGCCTCATGCTGGCACAAGCCAAATTAATTTTCATTTTGTGGGCTGGTGGACGTCACCTTAGTCATTAGAAATCAGCTGTGCTGGGAATATTGACACCCCATGAATTGGCTAACACTGTAAATCGGGATATTTCTTTTTCTGGGAGAGCCTGTTGTTCAATATTTACGGGCATCCCACTGGTCCACTGGAATCCTAAAGTTGTTAGACTGATGAGCGTCGTGAGACTCAGAAACGCATCTCTTTTCTCAGGGCTGCAGTTGGGCAGCTCAGCTGCTCTGTGTCTCTCAACCACCAGGTCACTGATACTTGCACCCCATTTCTCACAGGCCTTGTCACAGGTTGGGGGCCAGTCTTTGGGCCAGGACTAAAAAAGACACAAGCCTCTGTGGGATCCTTAGGATCCCCAGCGTCCTAGAATCTGAGTGGTTAAAAGGTGGCGCTCTGACACACATGTTCAGCCATCCGGAGAGTAGACTGGCCGAGTTCTCCTGGGCAGTGTGGAGGGACAGCACAGCTTCCTAAACCCCAGAGTCCTGCAGATGCCGGAGGATTGAGCTCCATCCCTACAGTGGGCCCCAGATCGGGGGCCCAGTGGAAAACCGTAGCAAGGCTATGGGGGCCTGTGAGGGAGGCTCAGCTTTCCCCCAGCATCTCATCAACCCAAGGTGCATGTGTTCAATCATAGTGATGGATTTCAGCCCAAGGGAGAGTTTCAAGCCCCTTTTTCCTGGTCATAGGTACAAAGTTGGGCTGGAAGGAGAAGAAGAGGGACCACAACTTGAGTCAAGTGCTCTCTCTTGCTCCCCCAAACTGCCCCTTGATCTTTTACTTTGTATTTGTCCCAAATCACCACATACCATGCTCCGCCCCCCACCCCCACACCATTTGCACCTGAAGGTGGGGAAGTCTGGACTCCAAGACACACCCTTTCAATCGAAAGAGGAACAGCAGACCCCAAAACCCACCCAAGCTAATGAGATGGGAAAAGTGAACTGGAGCCCGCCTCTAAGACACGAGCCCAGAGACTGAGCTGTGTCTAGAAAGGAGGGCTTGTGGGACAGTCACCCTGGCAGGGCTGGCAGAGGAGGTGACAGAGACAAGGAGAGTCAGTGGCAGGCACACTGACAGGCCAGCAGGCTTCCTTCCCTGAACCCAGCAGGTGGTTCTGTCTTCCAGATGAGGACGACACGGAGTTAACACCCAAGGGCAGCGATGACACACTCTACTGTGAGGCCGAAGCCATGGGGACTGTGGAGAAAGAGAAACCCCCCAAGGAGGATTCGGAAACAGACTTGGAGATCGAAGGTGACATGGGATTGGGGGGTGGGTTCCAGGCCCCCTGGGCCCCTGGAGGAATCCCATCCGCCCAGTGGGAGGTCCTGCAGAGGATGTCTGGAAATGCGGTTCTCCTCCAGGCTGGCTGGGGACAACGGCTGCCACAGCCCCGTGGCTTCCACACGAGCACACATCAGCTTGTTGAAAGCTGAACCAACACACAAACAGGGGTTTCTGGTCTTAAATGTTTCCCTCGGTGGCATCTCATGTGATGTTCCTTTAGTCGCAGAAGAGAGACATTAGTACTCACCTTTAGCCCTACTCGAGGGCCCCATGTGCGCCTTCAGCAAGTCTGAGCTGAAGTCATCAACCCAAGGCGCATGCCTACCTGGGTTTCAGGGCTGGCTGAGTGGGAGCAAAGACCTTTACTACAAACAACACCTCCACCCTCTTTTGCAGATTTCCCAGGCTGAGGCCAGCCCGACTCACCCTGGTGGGCAGTGGTCACAGTCTGCAGAGGTGGAGGGAAGGCTACTCAGCCATTAAAATTAAACTGTGCTGCTTATTTGCACAGTCAGCTTAGAACCCCACCTCTGTCAGTCAGCAGACAGCGTCTACCCAGACCTCCTCTCTGCTGCCCCCAACATCTCGTTGCTCTCTGTCTTCTTGTCCACCCCGGGGCTCTCACTGACACTGCTTCCAACATGGGATTTTGCTCCTTGCAAACCTGGATGCTTTGCCAAGATCCCTGATTCTGCGTCTTTCCCCGCCCCCCCCCTGCTCCCCACACTCACAGCAAGTGATGGCGCTGTTCCAAGCTGCTTCTTAAAATATGACAGCCAGAAAGGGTCGGCATCCAGGGTCAAGGCAGAGCTAGTCCCAAGGACAAAACAGGAAGTTACCTTCCCTCTGGCCAGCAAGAACTTCTAATGGCTGAATTTGGCACTGACAACTCTGTCCTGAGCAGAAACTCAGGGCTGAGCTGCTCTGCCTCCAGGGCACGTGCTACAGGTACTGAGGTGCTGAGGATGGGCCCGGAAGGACTTCCTGGGGAGTCTAGAGAAGAAGGGTTGGCCAGACTGTGGGCTCTTTCCCATGTAACAGTGGTTCTCCCCTGGGTAACTGCACACCTCAGGGGACACTTGGGGTGGAGGCACCTTGTGGGTACAGCCCAAGGAATCCTACTGGATATCCTGCAGTACAGTCCCTCACAACAGAGCAGGACCTGAGTCAAAATACCAGAGACACGGAGGGCGAGAAACCTCGCCCAGTGAGCATTCTAAGGAGAGGGTCGGTCTGGAGCTGCGCTTGCAAAAACAGCTTCCCTCTGAATCGCCCTTTCACTTCTGAGCTCTCACTGTCTACCTTAGAAGCTCGTGGTGTGGGTTGGCCAAAGGCCCTGGGATCCGAATAGAAAGCACACGAGTGTAGATGCCAGCTGGCCCTGGGAAGCCCTGCCGCCCACTGGACTTGCCTAAAGAGGACCCAGCCCTGGGGTCCCCAGGCCAGGCTGGAATGGTCCTAAAGCCTAAGGATGGCAATGGAGAGGTGGAACCCCTGCTTCTCTTAGCAGGTTTTTGTTTTTGTTTTTTGGTACTTACCGGCTGGACATTTAGGGCCTGGATTTGTCACTGGAGAAGCAGGGATGACCGGCTGTAAGGCCACCCAGATGCAGGTCTTTCTGTTTCTCACCAACTGGGAGGTCTCTCCCTCTTGAACTGATTGGCCATCTCGAGGTGACACAGGAGTCTACTTCTCTGAGCCTTCTTCATGGCTCACGTTTTAATGGTGGCAGGGAAACTAAAATTGAAATGGAGACCCCCCCCTCAACCATCAAAAGTCCCCAGCCCTGTGCCTTTTGTTTTTCCCCTTCAGGGTTGTCCCAGGGTGGCAGGAGGGCTGGGCCTTTATATATTCCTGGCGATTGGTCTCGGGATGCCTCCAGCCTGGGAAGGTGGGGTGGGGTACGCCGCTCATCTCTCTCAGGAAAGCCCAGGGCTGACACCTCGGGCCCCTTCTCCTACACGGAGGGAGACATCCATCGGGGGCAACCTGGAATTCGTGTCTGCCTCTCCCACCACTGGCTGACTTTGGGTTTGGAGTTGACTTCTGGAGCGCACACCCACAGGGGTGGATCCCTGGCAGAGAACAGCCCAGTCGGAAGCAAACCCTGCCCGAGGCCAGAGGGCAGAGAAGTCGAGCCCTACTGAGTCTTGTCTTTCTCCGCAGACACCGAGAAGTTCTTTACAATTGGACCAAAGGATCTGTACCTGGAGGCCTGCAAACTGGTGGGTGTAGTGCCTGTCTCCTACTTCATCCGGAACATGGAGGAGCCCCACATGAACCTCAACTACCATGGGCTGGGCCCCAGGGGCACCAAGGCTATCGCTATAGCCATGGTGGTGAGCATGGCAAGGGGGGCGTGGAACCAGGCCGAGGAGGAGGGTGGACAAGTGGCAGGCCCAAGATCCAGAGGGCCCCTCCCTCCAAGGCTGAAAAGCGACCTTGACGGACACCTGTCCTGGTCTCTGCTCCTCTGCCAGTTTCCCTGTCAACATGTGGACTTCCCTTTAGCTCTGGAAGGACATTTCTAGATACCTAGACCTTGAAGTCTGTGCTCTTTCACATTCAGGAAGCAAAGCACCAGCCCGTGGGACAAGGAAAAGGGGCTGGGCTGGAATTGGGCCCCAGAGTCAAGGCCAGAGCACAGTATAGAGTGCAGATCTGGGTCTCCAGGCCAAAGCTCAACTCTGCTAGAAATGGATCAGCTGCTGAGTCTTTCCATCCTCCATCTGCCTTTTGCGGATTTTTCAAGACCATGCTGTAGAGTAGATCATGTTTTCCTACAGGAATAATTTTATCTCTTGGTTTGGCCTAATCAAGCAAGGTCTTGACTTTGAATCCATCATAGCTTTATATAATTCCAATTGATTATATATAAAACCGATTCTCGTCCCAGAGATGTTAACAACTGTGTGTTAGCAACTCTGTTCACTTAGGAAGGTAAAAGGAAAGTTCGATGTTTAAAAAGCTCAGTAAGGCGAAGAGGCAGATGCTCTTGGGAGGCAATATGTAAAAATTGATAATAATTAAAAATTGATAACAATTAAATTGTCCATGGAGGGGCTGGGTTTGTAGCTCAGTGGTCAAGGGCTCACCTGGCATGTGGAAGGCAGTGAGTTCAACCCTCAGCACCACATAAAAATATAGGGAAAGGTATTGTGTCCAGCTACAATTTAAAAAATATATATTTTTTTTTAAAAATTGTGGTGCTGGGGATGTGGCTCAAGCGGTAGCGCGCTCGCCTGGCATGCGTGCGGCCCGGATTCCATCCTTAGCACCACATACCAACAAAGATGTTGTGTCTGCCGAAAACTGAAAAATAAATATTGAAATTTTTAAAAAAAATTGTCCATGGAAAGAAAGACCAGAGATAAAGAGGATTGAGGAAGAATTCTGAAAACATGTTATTTATAAAGGGCCTGAATTGAGAGAAGGGGTCCGTGAATTCAGTAGCAAATGAGTGGCCGAGAGCAGGGAGAAGTCAGCTACAGGTGCAAAAGAGAAGAGCCTTGGAGGGAGTGGCCAGGTTCGGGGATGCAGATGTGCAGGGTGATGAATGAGGGAGGCGAGTCCCCTCCTCTTGTGTATCTAATCATGGGACACAAGGCAATGGCAATGCATGAAGCACTGTCCTTGATCATTGCCGGAACGTGATCCTATGTGAGTCCTCAGGACACACAATGGCAAGCTGGTCATTTGGGGTACTTGTCCTTGGTTGGCCTGGCACAATGCCTTTGAGGAGTAGAGGGTCTTATTTTTCACATCCTCTGCCCCACAAGCTCATGGCCATTAAGAAGTTACATGAGAGCCAGGTGCCATGGTGGTGAGGAGGCTGAGGCAGGAGGATTGCAAGTTCAAAGCCAGCCTCAGCAACTCAGCGAGGTGCTAAGCAAATCAGTGAAACCCTGTATCTAGATGAAATACAAAAAAAAAAAAAAATGGCTGGGAATGTGGCTCAGTTGTCCAGTGCCCCTGAGTTCCATCCCCAGTTGCACCCCCCAAGAAAGAGTTACATGAGAGCCAGGCCCAGTGGTGCACACCTATAATCCCAGCAGCTGGGGAGGCGGAGGCAGGAGGATCAAAAGTTCAAGGCCAGCCTCATCCCTAAGCAACTTAGTGAGACCCTATCTCTAAATAAAAAGCAAAAAGGGCCGGGGATGTGGCTCAGTGGTTAAGCATCCTGGGTTCAATCCCCAGTACCAAAAACAAAAAACAAAAAAGTTACACGAGCCATGAGACTGTACTGTTTTCTGGTGAGGGGAGGAAAAACCAGAGAAGGAACAAAGCCATCTTGAAATTTACTGATGGTTGAAAGGCTGATTCATAAAGCATAGGAGGGGACCATCACTCCATGGACTTCATGGGAAAACTGCATAACGGTGACATCGTCTCGGGACTTGTATACTCAGTGGCCACAGTTTCTGTTTAGGGAGGGTAGTTTTTTCCTCTCTGACTCTCAGGATTGTTCAGGCAGCCAATGGTGTGACACTCTGATGTTGGAGCTTTTATTTGCTGTTTGTACTGCTGAATTTTTCACAGATTCACCCAGCTGGCTTTAAGAGCATGATCACGGGGATCCTGTTTCAGCCCTGGGAGTACAGCTCAGTGGTGCCACCCTGTCGGGGTGGCGGTGAGAGTCAGGAGGTTCTCGCTTCACCCTTGTTCCCCTAGCAGATAGCATAGAGAGTGACAAACAGGTGCTGGCTTTTGTGACATGAAAGAAGACAGTTTGGGGATAGGGCCTCCCCATTTACCCTGCAAAGTGCTGGTCCCCAGCATGACTCTGGAGGTGGCAATCAGCAGTGTCCAAACGCTGATCAACAGCACCTGGAAAGGAGACCCCAGGGCCATCTCCCTGGCCTTTGAACAGGTCTGAATTTTGCCCACTCCAGAGAGACAGCGGAGACTTGAGGACCCTCCAATAAGCCCCAAGGGAACCATCCCGCGTTGTGGAAGCAGGAGCTACCCTTTTCTTTTTTCCCTGGAATGGAGAATCGGGCCCTCCTGACCACTTGGTGCTTCTCTCACTGTTTGGTGGACTTTAAAACACCTGAGTCCAAAGATTCGACTCTTCTTTGCACCTGCTTGTACTGTGAATGAGGGGCAGAAGGGGAGAATAGAAGTTTTGGTTAGAGCTAACCCCAGTCGTTCATGCTGCAATGTTTCCTCTCATCTTGCTCCCATCGGGAATGTAGAATAGCCTGGACTTAGATATGAAGAGCTAAGCCCAGCGCCTTCCAAACAGGCTTGAGGTGACCTCAGGTAAGAAGAAGGCAAAATGGAAGAAACACCCTTGAAGAAGCAAAGCAAAGCAAGGCAAAAGCCTCAGGGGACCTCCTTTCAAGGACCTTCAAGTTTAAGTTCCCTTGTTAAAGGTCTCAAGTGTCTCTTAATCTTACAGTAGGTGTAAGATGGGGCAATAGGGTTAAAACCTACTTAGCTCATTCTTGTGCCTCTCACTTTTCAGGCCTTTAACTTAATGATCCCCTTCTAAGTACTCCCAGAAAAGCATATTGTTCTAGCAGAACTCAATGTGATGGCTCATCCTCTGTTTTTCTCCTTGTCCTCTCTTTCCTTTAGTATCCCTAATCTAACCTCCTGTGTTAGTTCATTTACCATAACTATAACAAAATATCTGAGGCTGGATAACTTTACAAAGAAAAGAGGTCTATTTAGCTAACCAGGTTCAAGGGCATGGCACTGGCATCAGCTCAGCTCAGGTAAAGGGCTCATGGTGGGTGGCATCGCAATGGCAGGAGTACATGTAAGAGGGAAAGATCACATAATGACTGAACCCAGGGCATTCTATATCACCAGCTACATCACCTTTAAAATGTTGAGGCAGGTCTCACCAAGTTACCCAGGCTGGCCTTGAACTTGTAATCCTTCTGCCTCAGCCTCCCAAGTCACTGGGATTACAGGCTCCTCTGCCTTAGTAACAACCTTTCATTAGGCCCCACCTCTTAAAGGTCCCTCTATCTTTTAGCATCGACACTCTAGGGTCCAAGCCTTCAATGCACAAATCCTAGGAGGACAAACCACATCCAAACCACAGCACCCCTGACAGTCTGGGATGTTCAGGAGAAGGGCCAAGCTCTAGACCAGAGCGAGCAAGGTACTGGGGAGGTCACCAACCGCTTCTCTTTCTTTCCCCCCCCTCCCCTTGGGTGGTTGAAGTCTAACACAACCATCACCAAACTGGAGCTGGAAGACAACTGCATCATGGACACGGGCGTGACCTGCCTGGTGCAGATGCTGCAGGAGAACTACTACCTCCAGGAGCTGGTAGGTGCCCAGCTCTGCTGGCTCCTCCACCACACTGGGGGCCCAGAGCCCAGGGAGCCCAGGCAGAATCCCCTGTCACTCTCAGGGCAGCCCTGGACTGTCTGAAACCCGTCATCAGGCTCTTCCCCTCTAGATGGGACTTCTCAGATGAGGGCCACCCATCAGAGGCTGGTGATGACTGGATTCCCTGTGGCCGTAAGAAACCCTAAGAAGCCATGTCTTTCTTTTTTCATTTTTTTTTTAAAGTTATACATGGACACAGTATCTTTATTTTCTTTCTTTATTTTCATGTGGTGCTGAAGATCAAACCCAGTGCCTCGCATGTGTGAGGCAAGCGCTCTGCCACTGAGCCATAACCCCAGTCTTTCTTTATTTTGAGTCTTTTTTAAATTTGTTCTAATTAGTTACACATGATAGAATGCATTTTGACACATCGGACATAAATGGAGTACAACTTCTCATTCTTCTGGCTGTACATGTTGTAGAGTTATACAGGTTGTATAATCCTATACACACATAGGGTAATAACGTCTGATTCATTCCACCATCATTCCAACCCTTGTGCCCCCTCCCTTCCTTTCACACCCCCCAATCTATAAAACCTCTGTTCTCCCCCATCGATTGTGAATTAGCATCTGCATGTCATAGGAACCATATCAGAGAAAATGTTTGGCCTTTGGGTTTTTTTTGGGGGGGGGTTGGCTTATTTGGTTTAGCATAATAGTCTCCAATTCCATCCACTGACCAGCAAATGCCATATTTTCATTCTTCTTTAAGGCTGATTAATATTCCATTGTGTATCACAGTTTCTAAGGAGCCATTTCTCTGTGTACCTTATAAGCCTATAAGTAGATAAGTTTACTTCTTGCACCATTACCTTAAGGTGAACTTTCTTAAAGGAGATAAAGACATGAAATAATATCATAAAACCCAATGTGCCTGAAGATAGGTGGTGGTGATGGTTATACAACAATAGAAATATATTTAATACCTCTGAACCTTATACCTAAAAAAAGGTTGCAATGGTAAATCTTATGTTATATTTTAATACCATAAAAATTTTGAAAAGAGCCGGGCATGGTGGCTCACATCCATAATCCCAGCAACTCAGGAGACGAAGGCAGGAGGATCTTAAGTTCAAAGCCAGTCTGAGCAATTTAATGATACCCAGTCTCAAAAAGAAAAAGTAAAAAGTGCTGAGGATGTAACTCAGCAGTAGAGCACCCCTGGGTTTAATCCCCAGTTCCAAAACAATTTTTTTTAAAGAAGGGGAGGAAATCAAACAAGACAGTCATGGCTGGTTTCTATGGAGTCTCTCCCACTGCCTGAGAGGACTCTGTCCTCATAAACCCCCGGCTCTTTCTAGGGTAGCGAATCATATTTTGTGAATCAATGAGTAGAATCTTTATTAACTCATTTTTTTTAGTTGTTTCATGCCCAACTCATCAAATGAAGCTGTCTTGGATTTCCAAACAAACAAAATAATGATGATGATGGTCATAATAATAATAATAATAAATAATGTGCTCATCAGAAGTACGTGGGCTAAATTGGGGGAGCGGGGATTTAATGAAGCCAACTTCAGAGAAACAGACCTCCTGCCTGCGTCAGGAAAGCCTCCCGCCTCTGGCCTCCGGCCACTCCATCAGCCAGCCCCTCCTCCCTACCTTGAACCCTACCTGGATGCCCTTGTTAATGAGGCCCCTTTGGTGGGATTTTACGTACACAAGGGTATTCTTGCCTTTTAGAATGTTTCGAAAAATGAAATTGGTTTGGAGGGGGCCAAAGTCATCTCTGAGTTCCTCCAGAGGAACACATCTTCGCTCTGGAACCTTGGGCTGTCAGGTGAGCCCGGGCAAGGGGACGGGAGGGCATCGGGAATCAAAGGGGCAGGAGGGGAAGGGCAGAGAGAACCCGCACCTGGTTGACCTGACCAGAATGCTGTGTCTGCCCTGCCCCTCCCCATGGCTTCCCTCCCCCTCCACAGCCACGTGGCTCCCTGCCGTCCTCAACAAGCTGCTTCCCACCGACCTGCTTTGCCATATTCTGCCCTTGGACGTCCCCGCCTGCAGAGGTCTGCTTGGTTTATGAGGCTTCCTCTCAGGTCTCAGCTCAAATGTCACCCCCTTGGAGAGGAGGCTCTCCTAACCACCCTATCCAAACAGCAACCCTCCACCACCACTCTCTGTCCTGTGTCCCCGATTGGTTTAACTGCATTTGTTACCACCCGATGCCCTCCTGTTTTTAAATTAGCTTAGTAACATCTCCCATGGGGGAGAAAGTCAGGTGAGAACTCCAGTTCCCCCAGACCTCTCCTCGTTCAGGTTTACAGATGTGCGCTGACTGCCTGGAACCCCTAAGCCAAGAAATGCACATTAAAACATGATCCTGGTCTAGGGCTATAGCTCAGCGGTAGAGCGCCTGCCTTGCACTTGTGAGGCACTGGGTTGGATCCTCGGCACCACATAAAAAATAAATAAATAAATAAAGGTATTGTGTCCATCCATGAAAGTCCGGCACTGTGGCACATGCCTTAATCCCAGTGACTCAGGAGGCTCAGGCCGGAGGATTGCAAGTTGAAGGTCCAGCCCGGCAACTTAGTGAGGCCCTAAGCAACTTAGTGAGACCCTGTTTCAAAATAAAAATAAAAAGAGTTAGGGATGTAGCTCAGTGGTAGAATTCAGTCACTCCTGGGTTCAACCCCCTGTACAAAAAAAATAAGATGAAAATAAAAATAAATGCATAGATAAAAACAGAAGAGATCATTCTTTTTAAAAGAACTCTCCTCCCCACAAGAATATCAACAAGTGAAAAATATGTCCTCCTTGAAATTACAGATTCAATACACATATCCAAAAAGTGCGGTAGACACAGGTCAATAAAAATAGCCAAAAAATATTTATCTAAATATATTTTCAGTGTAGAAAGAGAAAAATGGAGAGAAGATAAAAGATAAAAGAGTGTAGGATAATGAATAGACTCAATATAGCTACTAGGAGTTCCTGAAGGAGGGAAAAAAACAAGTGAGCAAATAATAGTTGCTGTGCTTCTTGAATTTGAAGCATTCGGGGATCCGAGTAAGTCCTAAAAAAGGTAAACAAAAAGAAATTCACACTTGAATGTATCACTGATAAAGCACTTAAGATACAGAGACCTTAAAATTATCCAGGGGAAAAAATAGTTTCTCTTTTAATGTAAATGTTACTCTAAGTGAGTGAGGTATTATTCTTGAATTTCTTGTTTCCCTCTAAATATATCTTGGATTTCTTTCCATAACAGAACAAATAGCTACTTCCCCTTCGCTGGGCAATCTTCCTTGTCATGGCCACAGCATCATTTAGCATCCCTCTGTTGGGGGATGGGACTCATATCATTTCTAATTTTTCAATCATTCAACTAATGATTCAAAGGACTTTCCTGTTCATACATCTTCTGGGCACATGTCCTAGTATTCTAGATGGACACCCAGCAGTATAATTACCGAATATAAAGATATATCCACTTTTATGAAGTTAAAAATTAATTTCCAAATTTCCCGTAAGGAGCCTGTACCAGATTAAAATTCTACCAATGGACGGTTTCTCTATGCTGTCCCCAAAGAGTTAATAGCAAGATGTTTGTGAATCAAATGGTTAAATGTGTGGGTGTTGAAGTCATTGTTCTTGGATCCAAATTCCAGCTTTGACACTGGGCAGGTTAGTTAACCCTTTCGTAACTCATTTTTCTTATGAATAGACTAAGGACAATGATATAACTTGAGATGGTGATTGGGAGGATTAAATGACTTAGAATCTAGAACACCTAGAATAGTATTTAGCATATAAATATTCAATAAGTGTTAGTCACTACTATTATCTTTATTTTTTCCACATTTTTTAACTGGTGCATTATAGTTGTACATACCGATGGGATTTGTTGTTACCTATTCATACATGCAAACAGTATAACAAGGTAATTCGGCTAAGCTCACTCCCCAGCACTCTCCCCTCCCTCCCTGTCTCTCACCCTTTAGTTCCTTTCTTCTAGTGATCTCCCTTTCATTTTTAGGAGATCTACCCCAACCTTTGTTTTTCTTTTTCCTTTCTACTTCTGCATATAAGAATAAACATGACCCTGAACCATCTGAGTTTGACTTATTTCACTTAATTATGATGGTCTCCAGTTCCATTCATTTTCCTGCAAATGCATTATTTCATTTTTATTTATGGCTGAATAAAACTCCATTGTGTATATATACCACATTTTCTTTATCCATTCATCTGTTGATGGACACCTAGGCTGGTTCCATAGTTTGGCTATGGTGAAATATATTATTATCTTTATTACATTCCCACATTATTATTATTTGAAAAGAACATCTTTTAAGATGTTTGTTTCCGTTTTTATTTCCTCTTCTTTGAAAAGTCAATTGTCTGGGCTGGGGATGTGGCTCAAGCGGTAGCGCGCTCGCCTGGCATGCGTGCGGCTCGGGTTCAATCCTCAGTACCACATACAAACAAAGATGTTGTGTCCGCCGAAAACTAAAAAATAAATATTAAAAGTTCTCTCTCTCTCTCTCTGTCTCTCTTAAAAAAAATAGATTGAAATGTCAGTTGTCACAGAGAGAAGGACACATTAAGTTAGATGAGCATTCTCTCCCGTTTTCTTGTGTCTACACATTTGCGTTAAGTGCTTGTCATCTTTCCCACGTCTGATTGTTCTGGAGTGCAGAGGACTGGCAGGGCTGTGATGTGGGTGGGCAAGAGGGCCACAGTGCAGAGTGCATTGTTAATGTAACCCCCTCACTTTAGGAAATAACTTCAGTGAGGAAGCCATAGACCTCTTCTGCCAAGCCCTGTCGGTAAGGAGCAAGGGGTGCAGGTGAGCCATGCGGGCAGGTCTAGGGGATCTGGGTGACTCGGGCTGTGCTGGGCATGGTGGAGCAAGGCTACTTATATGGTCTGGAAGTGGATGAGTGTTTGGTCTCTTCCAACCCTGGTAAAAACCCAGTAAGCAGTGGGGCTTTCAGGGTGGCACTGCCTTGTCACAGTGACTATCAACAGTTCATGAAGCTTTCAGTCTAAGAGCCCTAGCCCACCTAGTTTTTAGTACCTGGGAACTCTCCACCATACTGCCCTGAGATAAGTAAGAGATTTTTCAGCCAGAAGACAAAAATAACCTCCTTTCTCACCATTTGTTCCTCTAGATCAATTACCTAATTAGGAACCTGGATCTCAGTCACAACCAAATCTCTGATACAGGAGGGGAACAACTGGGACAGATGCTGAGTACGTCCCCATGGAGGGAAAGTGACCAGCCAAGGGGAGGGGTTGAGAGAAAGTTCATTTATCAGAGCTGAATCACCCTTTATTTTTAAATTAATTTTGAATGTTTGGACTATAAAAGTGATGTAAACCATGCCCCCCCCCAAAAAAAAAAAACATTTTAAATGAAGCAAACACTGAGATGTGGGAAGTAAAACTTTCCAATGATTAGAAGACCATGGAGAGGAACAACTTGCTGAGCTTAAGGAGTCCAAGGACTATTACAGTGGTACAGTAAACACAAACTGTAATGAAAACAATCCGTATATTGACAACAATGCATTTTAAACACGTATGATAAAAAGACACCATGGGCCAGGCAGGATGACATGCACTCATAACCCAGCTACTCAGGAGGGTCGCAAGTTCTAGGCCAACCTCAGCATCTTAGCAAGATCCAGTCTCAAAAAATAAAAAATAAAAAGGGCTGGGTTCAAGACCCAGTACCACAAGAAATACAAGAGCCACCATGGACAACTCTAAGACATAAGCAACAGAGGGGACAGGGAGTGAATATTTGCAGCACTTATATAGATAGAAGATTAATGTTCAGACTATTGATAAAAGATCCTATATATCTCCTGGCATAGTGGCGTGTGCCCATAGTCTCAGCTAGTCTGGAGGCTGAAGTAGGAGGATTGTGAGTTGGAGGCCAGTGTGGGCAACAGAGCAAGACTCTATCTCAAAAAAAAAAAAAAAAAAAAAAAAAGGCACAGTGGTGCATGCCTGTAATCCCAGCAGCTCAGGAGGCTGAAGCAGGAGAATCTCGAGTTCAAAACCAGTGTCAGCAATGGCAAGATGTCAAGCAACTCAGTGAGACCCTGTCTCTAAATAAAATACAAAATAGGGCTGAGGATGTGGCTCAGTGATTGAGTGCCCCTGAGTTCATTTCCCCAGTAGCCCCCCCCAAAAAATCCTATATTAACAAAGACCTATAGGTTAATAAATACCCCCAGTAGAACAATGGTCAAGGCATATGGGCAGCACAAGAGGAGAGTCCACTGCCCGACCCCTTTAGTAATTAGGGAAATGCAGCAACAGGAAGATGACCCTTTTCATCTATCCAAGTTAAAAGAGTTTAAAGTCAGTGAATATCAAAGCTGAGGACAGTGGGGAGAAACAGGACCACTGACAGGCTGCTAAGTAAAGCCACTGTTCAGAGTGACGATGGGACTGAACAGCAACTCGCCTCCTCCACGCGCACAGACAGATGTCCAAGGAGGTTACTGCAGCACTGCTATAAAACAGGGGACAGTACCTCTACCTAAATGGCCATCCCTGGGCAAAGAGTAGAAACAAGGAGGACACGCAGCAGTGGACAGGGAGGATTAGGGGCGGGGGGCGGGCCAGGCCCACGGGGAGGGGAGCTCTTTGCTGAGACCTGAATAACAAAGATGACCGTGCTGAGTTCTGGGGTTCAGCATTCCAGGCAGCAAGGTCAGGGCATTGCATGTTTGGGGACCATCGGAGGACAGGGTGGCAGGAACAGAGGGGACAGGGAGGAGACTGGAAGGGAGGTGGCCCATGGCGTGGACAACATCTGGATTTAATTCCACATCGGGGAAGGTCACAGTTTGATTTGCAATTTGGAAACTTCTGTCTGGCATGAAGAACAATGAAGAACACAAACAGAGGGACAGCCATTAATTAGGAAGCTGTCCCTAGCCTGCGGAAGACAACGCAATCGCGCATGAGCGAGACAGAAGAGTGGATGGGTTCCGAATGTGTTTGGGGGTGAGGCGGAAAGACTTGCTGAGCTGAAGGAAAGTTAGGAATAAGGACGGACGCCTGCTCATCTCGCCTTCTCTGCTGGCTGGACGTGGTGCCCTTTACCTGGGTAGGGGAAACTCAGGGGGCAACAGCTACATTTTGGTAGTCGATGGCCACTCAGCACTTCTCAGTGGAGAGTCGGGAGGTGGTTTGCTGTGTGGCCTTAGAGGTTGGTGACGAGATCAGCACTGGATGAAACACCTGGGAGTCACAGGCAGGGGACGTATTTAATCCAGGAGACCATGTCAAGGCAAGAAGTGTAGAGGCTTGAGCAGTTCTCTGGTACTGACGCCTGGGTCACTCCAACATGCGCAGGTGCTGCTGCAGAGGAGCAGGGATCTGAGAAGTGTCAATCGAACAGGAGGGTGACCAGGAAAATGAGGTCTCAAGAAAACGAGGGAGAGAGCTGTTTGGAGAGGAAGCGGTCAGCAGGGTCCACTTAAGTGTTGCTTAAGATCTAATGATGAGGACGGAAAAGTGACCCCAAGTCTCAACAGCACTGAGATAGTCGGCCACTTGGTGAGAGTTTTGGTGGAGTGGGTGAGCACGGAAACCCAGCTGGAGACACAAATGGGTGCAAAGAGGAGGCCAGAGGCTGGGGAGGCTGGAGCTACTGAGGAGGCGGGAACCCGAGGGAGACAAGAGGCCAGGAATGATTTTTAAGGCTGAAAAATGCTGAAGTAAAAGAAACTGATGCTGCAGAAAGAAGGGAAGACAATTAAAGGAGGAGTTTGCAAGAGGAAGGGGCCTGGCCCTAGAGAGCCTTGAAGTGGCGGAGGCAGCAAGGCTGGCCGCTGAGGGGAGGGTGGGTGGGAGGACGAGCCCCACCTCCTCGTGCTGCTGCTCCAGGGCAGTGAGAAGCAAGACCCTCTGCTGACTGTAGAGAAAGCACTTGGGAGGAAGGAGAGGTGGAAAGGGACCACTGTTCAGCCTCCTCTGAAAGCTGAGGTTGTAAATCTAAAGGAAACCAGAATGTGTTCTATCTTCCTGTGGTTATAATAGTCCTGTGGGTGAAGATTTTTAGACTGTTATTCTAACAGTAGGCACGGTGGCGCACACCTGTAATCCCAGCCGCTGGGGAGGCTGAAGCAGGAGGATCACAAGTTCAAAGCCAGCCTCCGCCACTTAGCAAGGCTCTAAACAACTTAGCAAAACTCTGTCTCAAAGTAAAAAAAAATAAAAAAGGCTGGGGATGTGGCTTAGTGATAAAGTGCCCCTGGGTTAAATCCTCAGTACAACAACAACAACAAAATTATTATTAGTAAAGCTCTCAAACAGTAAGTGATTACTAAGTGAGGGGCATCAGACTCGCATGTCACATCAATCCTCACAAAATCCCTACACAGGTTAATACTCCATCTTACAGACGAGGAAGCTCATGAGGAACAGATCCGTGACCTGGCCAAGGTCGCACAACTGTTAAAGGAGATGAGCCTCTGAGTTCAATTATGTGGCCACTTAAGGGATGCAGATGTGCTCGGAGAATCTTCAGAGGAGGAGAAGAAAGTGAAGGAAAGAGGTGTAGGAAGAGAATGAAGGCAGGAGACTATCGTTATCACAACAATATAAGCTGTGAGTCACTAACAGAACATCCTGGTGATTGTCACAGAGAGACAGGCAGACGTGAGAGGTCCCCACTGTACCGACAGAAAAAAGTAAGGGCTGGGGACGTGGCAGAAGCACTTGCCTAGTGTGCACAAGGCCCCGAGTTCCATTCCCAGCACACACACACACACACACACACACACACACACGAAATAGAAAAGAGAGAGACTCCCTCCTGATGCCCGAAGACAACGCTCTCTTTTGACGGTGCCCTCTGCAGAGCCACTTTCCCCAAATAAAAATAACAACGTGGTTGAACAGGAAGTTTTGCCAACCCTGTGGAGTATAGGAGCAAAAGCGTTTTCTTCTTTTTTTCTTCCTGGTGCTGGGGACCAAATTGAGGGCCTTGGGCATTTGAGACCAGTACTCTATACCTCCAGCCCCCAAAAAAGCATCTTTAGTTTTTTTTTAAGTGTGATCTCTGTGCAAACTCAGATCCTGGCACCTCCCACCTCCAGCTGCTGGTGCCTCTGAGGCTCTCCTAAGAGCAGCCCCAGAGCCAGTGCTGTTCCCATGGCACTCCTCGAGACAGTCACCTGGTGACCTAACACGCCAGCCCATCCCCGCCTCCTGTGTGCAGCAACAAGTCTCAGAGTTCTGTGATAAGGTATGCATGCACATCTTAGTGGGAAAATAGCTACGATCATGTAATATTTGCCAAACAGACTATACTCATTTACTTGCCACCTGCTATAGAAGGGTAAGATTATTTTCCTTCATCTTTCTCAGCATTGAGGATAGTCTGACAATTGTGTGTTTAAATGAATAACTGAAAAAAAATCATTGCCTGGGTGCTTCTCTTTGCATGCCATGTGAACCCTGAGGCCGGGTTCTTTGGGATGCGGGGGATACTAAGCCGACTCCCTCTCCCTCCCAGACATCAATGTAGGGATCCAGGTGCTGAATCTGAGCTGGAATCACTTCCACACCCAGGGAGCAGTGGCCTTGTGCAACGGTCTCCGGGTAAGGTGCCCTGAGAGTGGTGCGGCGACCCAGGTGGGGCAGCCAGGTCGTCCCTCCTGCCACCCTGCACCTCTTCCTTGATGAGGGTTTACTAGCTCCACAAGTGCTCTCCCAGTCCCTGGTCTCTCTCCCACAACTCCTGGATGGGTTACTTTTTAATAAATCCCAGCCGCTAAGCCCCACTGGGGGGCATCCTTAGGCCCTTCAAGAGTCCGGTGCAATTAAGAGTTAGGGTCCTGTCCAAGTCCCAGAGGTCCCTGAGACCGAGCTGGGAGGGAGCAGGAGGGATGGGGCAGATCCGGGGAGCCCCGAGCGCTAGGTGTCCACGCAGCAGCAGGTAGAGGTTGGAGGGGTTGCCTGGGTGAGTCACCCATCAACTTGATGCTGGTGTTGTCCCTCTGCCACCAGGGTAATGTGACCCTGATGAAACTGGATGTCTCCATGAATGGCTTTGGGAACGAAGGGGCTCTGGCCCTGGGGGAGGTCCTCAGACTCAACAACCACCTGACCCACCTGGATGTCAGTGGCAATGACATCAGCAACGAAGGGGTCTCCAGGCTCAGCAGGGGGCTGGAATCCAACGAGGGCCTCCAAGTCCTGAAGGTAGTCTGCCCTAAGCTGGGAATGGCCGGCCGTGGTGTGTGTGTGTGTCTGTCTGTGGGTATGTGGGTGTGTCTGTCTGTGCTGGGGTGGGAGCGGCTGGGGGACAGGGCTGGAGAGAATCACAGGGAACACCCACCTTGTCCTTTCTCTCTCTGTCCCCCATGTCACCTCCGCTGTCCCTGGGGCACCCTCCAGCCGGGTCTCCCTCAGGCAGCCTGGGCTTTGGGAACACAAACCTGACTTTTGGCCCCTCTACCAGCCCCTCAGGCTGCTGGCTTCCAGCTGGAGACCCCTGGTGGCTTCCTGCCCTAGGGCCAGCTCTCCAGCCCCTGTGTGCCTCCTGGTCCCCTCTGCTTTCCTCCCACCACAGGGTCTTGGCCGGCCGCTCCACTCCCTCGAACTTCTAGAAAACCCTCCGGTGGGAGGTGGTCTTCTCCCAGCACCCTGCCGACTCCTCCCGGCAGAACTTGCTGCTCTTTCCAATGACACGCTCGTTTGAGCAGCGGTTTGAGCATCTGTCACCCACCAGTGTGGAAGCTTCCTGTTTTAGTCAGCTTTTTCACTGCTGTGATAAAAAGATCCAAGCAGGACAAACTGCAGAGGAGGAAAAGTTGATTTAGGGGCCCACAGTTTCAGAGGCCTCTTCCACAGAAGGCTGGCTCCATTCCTCAGGGCTGGAGGTGAGGCCGGACATCATGGTGGAGGAGTGTGGCGGAGGGAAGCAGCTCATGGGGTGATCAGGAGGCAGAGAGAGACTCCACTCACCAGATACAAAATACGTACCCCAAAGGCACAGTCCCAGTGACCCAGCCCCTCCCTTACAGCCCACCTGCCTTCAGTTACACTCAGTTAATCCCTCCTAGGGGATTAATCCACTGATTGGGTTCAGACTCTCACTACCCCATCATCTCTCCTCTGAGCCTTCTTGCATGTCTCACACATGAGCTTTCTGGAGGGGGCACCTCACATCCAAACCACGACACATCCTGAGAACAAAGACTATTTGGTTGGGTCCCATTATTACACACCTCATTCCTAGCCTAGTGCCGGCCATAGGGTAAGTGCCCAAGGAGTGGGTTTTGAGGGAATGGACGAATGAATTCTTCTTTCGTTTTAAATGGACTGACTTGTAGACACTGATTCATAACACTGAATCCTCTGGGCAGTTGGAAAGCAGACGAAAGAGGACTTCTGCTGCTAGTTCCCCTCTCTGGGGCTCCTCCCACGAGCCACAGCAGGTCAGGTGATTCGCCTATCATCCCCTGGCCCAGCTCCCTCGATGCAGGCCACACAACCAGCCAGAGGCAGAGGGCAGCCAGCTCTGCCTGGCTTTCATGGCAACCCCACCTCCCTCAAGATATAGGGGTGTTGTGGGGACCACAGACATGGTGTCCTAGTGCCAGAGGATCAGGCATGAGGAAAGAGAGGATGAGCCTGGGATCCCAGAGGACAGCCACCCAGAGCTATTAAAGGGACAGGAGGAGGCTGGGTTCTAACTGGAAAAAGGGAGCGTGATGGCTGAGGGGACCAGCCTGGCCACTGAGGGACCAGGAGAGCTGGGACTGGCTGGGTGGAGTGGTACTTACTAGGCGTCACTCAGAGAGGCAGACCCAGGCTGGGAGAGAGTCAGCCCAAGGAAGCTGAGAGAGTTCTGAGAACCTGAATTTCAAAAGAATAAGACGTTGCCTCAGAAAAAATGGCACCAGGGGTTGCCTCTGGTTGGTGGAGTGCGGGTGATTTGAAACATTTTTTCCTAATTCTTTTCTGATTTATCCACAATGACCAGATGTAATAAATACATTTAAGTACTTTTTTTCTAATTTTTAAAAGCGAAACAAGAAAAGTAGAAAATGAACCTCTTAGCTTGGTCATACCGACTTTGTGACAGGAAGCATTGGTTGTTCCCACCTCCAGCCCTCGCCACACCCCATTCCTAATCTTGGGAAACTAAGAAAGGGAGACCCACAAAGGCTGGCTGCGAAGCACCTTGAGGGCAGGGCTCAAGTCAGCATGTTCTCACCAGAATCCATCAGATTCTGGGAAACACCTGAGACATACTAAATGCTCAATAAAACACTTAACTCCTCTTCATGAAACCACTCAGTGAAAGCCGCCATTGATCAAAACTACCATTCACAGACTACTTACCACGTACCAGGCACTCTTTTTGAATGTTTTGCCTGATTTGTTAAGTCACTGCTTTTATCACAAAGCTGGTGCCATTTGCTCGTGTGCCTGTGTCTCCCCCAAGTAGAACTGAGATACCTGAGGGCAGAAACCTTGTCATGTCTGCTGTGCATCCCTCAGGGCTTAGCCCAGTGGCTGGCACATAGTCGGCCTCCAGAAAATACTTGTTAGATGGATGGATGGATGGATGGATGGATGGATGGATGGTTGGTTGGATGGTTGGTTGGATGGATGGATGGTTGGATGGATGGATAGACAGATGGATGGTTGAATGGATGGCTGGCTGGCTGGCTGGCTGGCTGGATGGATGGATGGATGGTTGGATGGATGATTTGATGGATGGATGAATGGATGGACAGTTGAATGAATGGATGGATGGATGGATAATGGATGGATGGTTGGATGGGTGGATGATTGGTTGGATGGATGGATGGATGGATGGATGGTTGGATGAATGATTTGATGGATGGATGAATGGATGGACAGTTGAATGAATGGATGGATGGATGGATGGATAGATGGTTGGATGGATGGGTGGATGATTGGTTGGATGGATGGATGGATGGATGGGTGGATGGATAGGCAGTGAGGTGGACAGGTAGGTGGACAGATGGACAGAGAAATCTGGGAAGACAAAGGATGTAGTGCAACGGGAGGAAGTGCAAGTCAGCTTGGAGCCAGCCTCTCCTGCTCTGGTCTCAGCCTCAGCCTGTCTTGCTCTTCTTTCTGCAGCTTCTCCTGAACCCTATGAACATGGAGGGGGCTGTTTTGCTTGTCCAAGCCATCAAAAGGAACCCCAAATCCAAGATGGAAGAGCTTGACATTTCTGTAAGTGATCGAATGGTCATCACTTGTCCCAGGGCGTGAGCCAGTTCCCATGCCCCCTTGTGCCCTCGGTGCCACCAGCTCCATCCCCCATGGGCCCTCTCACTCCATGAAAAGGACCCTCCTTTGGCACAGCTTGGGCACCTCCCGTAGACCAGGAGTAGCCATTCAACCAACAGCACCACAGTGTGAAGTGATTAGCAGATCCCAGGAACCGGGGCACCAACACCGGAGAGCAGAGGTGGACAAACACCCAAAGGAAAAGCCGGCAGACCCCAACAACAGAGTCTGTTTACTGTCGGCTTTGATGGCAAATGGCCCAGATCTCAGAACGTTCCAGAATCACAGGATCTTTTATGACCTGGGTGTTAAAACACTGAGAAACTTGTACATTCGTGTCATGACTTGGCCTCTTGCACTCGGAGTCTATCTCCTGCCCCCTTGATGGAGGGGGAAAGCCTACCCAGGTGACTTCAGGGGGCAGTGGGTAATGGCAACATCCCGTCCTGCCAGCTCCTTTGATCCTGCTCGGGGAGGTACACTGAGTACTGTGGCCGTTTCCTGGGACGACTTTATCACAAACGGTGGCTTAAGGAACAGAACTGGAATGTCTCACCGTCCGGGGCACCAGAGGTCCAGGGTCAAGGCGTCAGCAGTTTGGGTCCTTCTGAGGCCTAGAGGGTGAATCTGCCCCAGACATCTCTCCTTACTTCTGGGGTCTGTTCCCCCTCTCTTGCGTTCCTCGGCCTGTAGACACAGCGCCCCGATCTCTGCCTTCCTGTTCTCCTGGTGTCACCTGTAGACAGGTCTGTCTCCGAAGCCCAAATCCCCTTTTTATAAGGACATGGTCATTTGGGGTCAGAGCCCACCCTTGATGACACCATTTTACCTTGATCATCTGCAAAGACCCTATTTCCAAATAAGCTCACCTTCACAGGTACTGCGGGTGAGCACTTGAAATTTTTTGCAGAGAGAAGGGGCAAAATTCAACCCATAACAAGTACTTTCCTTCGTTTTTCCATGTAGTGAATAAGGAAAAGGAAACAGGATAGTTAGGTCACTTGCCCAAGGCCCACAGCAGTGAGAAACACCACGGAGCCAACACAGGGCTCTCCTCCTGCTCCAGGATTCTGTGAAGATACCGACGTTGAAGTTCTTTGACATTTTTAATGCCTCACAATGTTGTTTGAAAGAGTATTTTAATGCCTTGGAATTATATGAGTGATGAGGTTTTTAAATATCTAAACTCAACCTCCTGAGAATTGAATATTAGTAAAATTTAGATTTCTATTTGCCACAGCTTATAGAACATTATAAAAACAGCTGCTTTTAATTTTATTCCCCCCCCCCACCCCTTCCTCCCTGTTCCTCCTTGTGCTCCTGGGTCTTCTCTCAGAGACCCCTCTCTCTCACCCTTGTACTTTGGCTCTGACCTTACACCACAGCATGACTCCTTCACCCCCACCCACCCAGGTCCTGGATCTCAGCCACAGGCTCAGATTTTGTTGCCATTCACCACCCGCCTTAACCCACAGAGCAGGTTAGGAGACATGGACCCAGGCCCTGCTTTGGTGTGTTTAAGAGGACATTAGAAATGATGCTGTTTGGTCCCTTGATGGCACATTAATCCGTGAACTATGACCACATTGCCACTAAACAAGCCTATCAGAACAAATCACCTGAATTAGCTTGTGTTGGTCTGTTTTCTGTTGCTATAAGAAAATACCCAAGGCTGGATACTTTATAAGGAAAACAGGTTTATTTAGCTCACAGTTGGATGCTGAACATCCCAACAGTGTGGGACTTGTTCTTGTAAGAGCCCCCCAGCTGCGTTACCTCATGGTGTACAGCATCATGCTGAGAGTTCATGTGAGAGAGAGGGAGAGATCACATGAGAGACAAGAAGCCAGAGACTAAGGAGGGGCCAGGGTTGCTCTTTTATAACAACTCCTTCTCATGGGAATTAACTGGAGTCTCTCAAATACTTACGGAGCCGAGTGGGGTGGCCCACGCCTGTAATCCCAGCAGCTCGGGAGGCTGAGGCAGGAGGATCATGAGTTCAAAGGCAGCCTCAGCAAAAAGCGAGGCGCTAAGCAAGTCAGTGAGACCCTGTCTCTAAATCAAATACAAAATAGGGCTGGGGATGTGGCTCAGGGGTTGAGTGCCCCTGAGTGCAATCCCCGGTATCAAAAAGGAAAAAACTTACTCCACCTCTGAAGAGTCCCACGTCACTACTCTGGGAAGCAACACAGGAACCCCAACCACAGAACAGCCACCATAACCAAAGGGTATCGAAGGTCCTGCCTTGTACACGCTCCTAGGACTTTGTCCAGAATATACCTACAAAGTCCTCAGACCTTAAGCAGAAGTTTAATTTGAAAAGGTAAAAGATACTGAACCACAGCCGCAGAAACACACAGGTTGATCAAATTGTAGAGGCCAAGTGTGACGCATTTTCTCCCATGTCCTATACACCAACTCCAAGGGCACTTCCAAGAGGGGGAGCTCCCAATTCCATCTGAGCCATGACAGGACGGCTTGACTAGGGATGCTCTCCGGGGCGCCAGGTCTGAAGAACAACGCTCACGTGGATGTGTGTACCTAGGGTATTTGTGTGAGGACTAGTTACTCAACTCCAGAGTTGTCTCTTGTCCATCAAACGTGGTCACGTCCGTCCACTTGCCATCTGAGAGCAGAGCTGAGCTGGCAGCATGAGACACACCAGCAGAACTCCATGCAGACAGCTGGCTGAACATCGCGATCACCCAGGAGACTTACGAGTCAGACCACAAGCTCTAAAACTCCAGAACCATCCCCGTCCTGGAGCAGCGCCGCAGAACAAATTGGGAAAGACCCGAGCTCCTGACTCCGGCTTGGGTGGAAGGGGAGGGCCTGCTGTGGGCGGGGGAGAGCGCGGCCAGAGCACCCTCGCCACCGGTCCCTTTCCCCCCCTGCAGAATGTGCTGGTGACCGAGCAATTCGTGAGGATGTTGGATGGGGTCTGTGCCGTCCACCCCCAGCTGGACGTGATCCACAAGTCAGTCCAGGGTTTCTCTGCCAAGAAGAGCACCTTCCTGATGGCAAACCCCATGAAACTGATCCAGGTGAGCTCCTGCCTTCCTCTCGGAGCCTCCAGGGAGGCCTGGAGAGAGGCAGCCTTTGACCCCCATCAGCTGCCCAGCGTCTCTCCTCCCCAAAGCGTCTGTACTATTTTATTTTATTTTTTTGGTCCCAGAGATTGAACCCAGGGGTTCTTAACCACTGATCCACATCCCCAGTTCTTTTTATATTTTATTGGTGACAGGGTCTCACTGAGTTGCTTAGCGCCTCACTAAGTTGCTGAGGCTGGCTTTGAACTCGTGATCCTCCTGCCTCAGCCTCCCAAGTCAACTGGGATTACAGGCGTGCACCACCACGCCTGGCAGTACAGTCCTTTTTAACAAGGAATGTCAGCCCCTTAGACTACAGACTGGACTGTCCCCGCGGATGCTGGGTCCCTGAGTGCATCCTACCTCCCAGAGGAGGGAAGGTCTGAGATCGGGCTGGGGGCGGGAAGTGGGGGTGGCACAGGATGGATTCCACCACCCAAGCCCTCCATGTAAAGCAAGTCACCAAGGCTCTCTGTGACTTGTACAGTGGGCACCCACCCCCGAGGGTCGCTGTGAAGATTAACCTAGTTAATACGCACGAGGCGCTTACGGCAAGGCCTGCCACATGACAACGCCCCCAAATGCAGGCTCTTTCCACAGGATGCCAAGACGCCCTGTGGTTGGGATGGCTGTTGGCTGGCTTCCACTAAAAAGGGACAGCTGAAGCCTTATTTGTAGTGGCTTGCATCTGCCTTTCTTTCCTTAGATGGTTTCTAGGAAATCACAGGAAGTGGATATGACCTGAAGATGTTTAAAAGGGAGAACACTCAAGCCGAAAGGGGGTATGAACTGCTTACCTCGCAGAGCGAGGGCCAGACCCAGGTCTGGTGTTTCCCGGCAGTGGGGGAGCTCGGGAGCCCACTGCTGCCTGCAGGTGTCTACCCCAGGGCTATCACCTGCCCCGGGTTGGTCTGCTCTGTGCCTCAGTTTCCAAGGATAAATAATTTTTAAAAATTGCATAGCTAGGCACAGTGGCACACATCTGTAATCCTAGTACTCGGCAGACTGAGGCAGGAGGATTATGAGTTCAAAGCTAGCTTCAGCAACTTAGCAAGCCTGAGCAACTCAGTAAGACCTTTTTTTTTTTTTAAATAAAATACAAAAAGGGCTGGGGATGTGGCTCAGTGGCTAGGTGACCCTGGACTCACTCCCCAGTACAAAAAAAAAAAAAAAAAACAACTCTTGCATGAAAATTATTGTCATGTGAAAAGGGTATCAGTACATTCCTGAATAGATGACTCCAGATGGAACCACAGGGGAACCTGTTTTGCAAGGGGAGCAGGATGCTCGGGTAAACTGGCAGGGAGTTGTCTGAGGCAAGGTGAGGCCCCACCCCCAACTTCAAAAGAGGATAGAAATGGGGAGCGACCCATGCCTGGGAGCTGCAGACCAGGAGCCAGAGTCAGTCTCAGATGCCACTGGGTCTCCAGGACATGGGGGTTGGGGGAAGAGTATACAAAAAGCATCTTGGGGCTGGGCATGGTAGCGGACGCCTGTAATCCTACTGGCTCAGGAGGCTGAGGCAGGAGGATTGCAAGTTCAAAGCCAGCCCCAGCAATGGCGAGACACTAAGCAGCTCAGGGAGACCCTGTCTCTAAATAAAATACGAAGTTGGGCTGGGGATGTGGCTCAGTGGTGGAGTGCCCCTGAGTTCAATCCCCAGTACCAAAAAAAGAAAAAGAAAAGCCATCTTGGAGTAGGGCTCAACAAGTCATGCAGGTAAAACAGGCCTTCCCCCTGGGAAGCCAAAAATCTGGTTGGAAAGGTGGAATGGATTCAGTAATGACCAATAGAAAATGTCATATGGTAGACAGTAAAGAAGTGATGAAGACACTGTTAAAATCAGAATCCAAGGCAGAGATGAGCACAGGATTGGGTAAAAAGAAAGGGGGATTTCCTGCAAGAAGTGGGGTGGGGAGGGGCCTTGCAGATGGCAGAGACTGGTGAGGAAGAGGGCGAGAGGAGTGGTCAGAAAAGGGTTCCTGCCAAGGTGCTGAGGTGGGACTGCACATAGGGGGCGCTGTGCACCGCACGCTGCGGGCTGCGAACAGAGCCGCGTGAATCCGGCAGAGGAACCACGTGGCTCACGGAGGAGCCTCCCAGCTGGCGTGGGAGACTGGACTCCATGACGTGTGCTCAGATTTCAGGCCTCGAGTTGGGGTTTGATTCCATGGGAAGCAGGGCACCAGCAAGAGCTGTTGAGCTGTAGATGTGACGTGAACCCAGCAGGGCAGAGGGATTATTTCTGTGGCTTTGGGAAGTGACATGAACTGAAGGGGATAAAGTGGGAGTTGGGAAAACCCAATACCACTGTAGGCTCCTGGATGTGGGATGATAACTTGCCTGAGGGTAACGATGGAGATGAAGGACGGGTGTAAGAGGGTCATTATGGAAACATCTCCCAGACCCGGTGAATGGTTGGGAATGTGGTCTGAGTGTGTAGAGTGTGAGGTGTGGGTCTGTGTCTTTGGTGCTGGGCATGGAACTCAGGGTCTCTTTTTGCACATTTAAAGATGCCTTACAGGGGCTGGGGCTGTAGCTCAGTGGCAGAGCACTCACCTAGTACGTGCAAGGCCCTGGGTTTGATCCTCAGCACCACATAAAAATAAATTAATAAATAAATAAAGATATTATGTCCAACTGCAACTAAATAATAATAAAAAAAAAAGTTGCCTTACAATGCAATTAATATTTTTGAAAAGGGAAACAATGAAAAAATATTTTTCAAGTTTTCTAACCAAGTACTTCTCCTTATGTGCATTTGTGCAAAACTGAGAATCCTAGAAATTCCTGGAGTCTTGCTCCCACCTCCCCAAAGTCAAATAACGTGGATATGATCACCGTCCCTACTCCTTTGGCGCTGTGGCCTCTTGACAGTATTGACGTCCCTCTCTTAAGGATGGAGGAAATGGATGGAGTTTCTGCTCAGTGGGGCTGGGGTGGGGGAGGAGACCTGCAAGAAACTGGGCCAACCCAAGACCTGGCCTGCAGCCCTGCCCCCCTGCCCGCCTCCACCTGTGCAAGACCCTTCCTCTTCAACCACCTCTAAAGTCTGGGGGGCTCAGGCTGCTGAGTTGCCCTCTTCCCTCTCCAGCCTCCTGGGTCTGGAAGCTTGGGCCTCCTCTTTGGGGGAGTGGAGGGAGAGTAGTGACAGGCGTGACAAGACCCATTATTCACTCCTGGGATCTCCTGCTTCACTCAGAGCTACGCAGACCAGAACAAAATCCCAGTCGTGGACTTCTTCCAGAGGCTGAACCCTGCTGGGACAGTAAAGATGCCCGTGGGCGAGTTCCGGAAGGTGATGGTGCAGGTGTGTTGAGGTTCTTCATGGCGCTGAACCCTCGCTCACTTATCTAGAGCCAGAGAAAACCCAAGGCCTCCCTCATCCTCCTGCCCAAGTCATTCTCTGCCATGTGGCCTGATGCCACTGATCCCCCCAAATGCCCCACATTCTTCATCGTTTAGGTCTTTGTCCCCAATGCATGTGGCTGCTGGGAAGATGGAAAGAGCAGTGAGAGAAGCCACCACATCCCAGACCAGTGTTTCCACCTCGGCCCTGCCATCTTGTCTGAAATCCCAATTCCCCCCACCCTCCAATGTAATGAAGGTGTTGAAGACCCCCCTGAAATGCAAACATGAAGAACCCATCATCAGCACATCCTGGGAGGCCTGGGCCCAAGGCAGGGGGCTGCAGGAGGCCCAGGCAGGGATGGGTAAGACCCAGTGTCCAGGTGCCGGGTGAAGAGGGCTGGCCAGGACTCAGCAGCTGGGAGCAAGAGTGGCCCTTCCCTGCTGCAGAGGACTGTCCTTGTCCACTCCAGGGCCACCTACTGCACCCAGATCCTGATCTCCTTTTCCCTTACTTCTCCCCCAAAAGGGGGGCCTCTGGAGTCTGAGCCCTGACCTGTGGTTTGGGGTGGGGGGTCTTCTAGCCCTTTCTCGTGTTGGACCCAGTTTCCTCTTTGCTCTCAGTTGCTAACTGTGGTCCCAAGAGGGGTGAGGCATGGGGGGTGCTGGAGATGGGGTGCGAAGGATAACATGTTCCATTGACCTTCTCAGCAAAACAAGGTCCCCCTAAACCGGTACCAAGTCAGGGAGCTGATCAGGAGACTGGAAGAGGAAGCAGGCATGGTGAACTTCAGGTGAGGCCAGGTGGCCCTCCCAGGGCTCTCCTCGGGGTCCTGGCTGGGTGGGCACTCATCCTCTGCCTAGTTCTAGAGCCCACCCCCTGCAGCAACTGGCTGCCCTTCCCCCACATTCCCAGCCCTGAGCTCACCTCCTTCCCCTCTTCAGTTTCTGCCCACGGCTGGACCCTCCGTCATGTGCTGCTGGATGTTGGGCCAGATGCTGGGACCAGGCAAAGGAGCTTCAGCCCAGAATCACGGGGGGGGGGGGGTCTCACAGAGGGGGCGAGATGAGGGTCACCTGCTTAGGCCCCACAGAAGTAAGAGAAAGGGCAGGTGTGCAGGGCACCAAGGTGGCCCACAGGGGAGGCATCAGTCTGGTGGGAGGTGGTGGTGTTTCAGTTGAGTTTAGGCAAGATAGACAAGGGCAGGAGGACAGAGGGACAGCAAGTGCCCCACGCCAAAGCATGAGCCAGCTGATGCATTGGGGATCCACAGGTCATCCAACTCTGCCCCAGCGTAGGGGGCCAGGCAGGTTGTGACTCAGGCCAAGTTCCTTGGACAGAAAGGACTGTGACAAAGTAAGAGCAGTAATCAACCCTTGCCGAACCCTGACCACATGCCACGCACTCTGCCCTCACCACACAGGTGCTGACCTGATTTCCCACAGCACCCAACTGCCACCAAGCTACTATTATCTCGTTTGGCAAATGGTGAAACTGCAGTTAGAGAGGGAAGTTCAATTCTCACAGCTGGAAAGGGAAAGCTACTGCCCTTGACCTCAGGTCCCTGTGGTTCTAGAACCTGTTGGTTCACCCACCACTCTTGACCGTCTCACAGAGGTGCAGGTGGACACTGCCCCACCAGGCAGGGGTCTGCAGATGGGCTCCCTAGGGATCCTTGCCTGTGTCCTCCAGGAGCCCCAGAAGGGGCCCCCATCTGGTCCTGCACCACAGGCTCCTCCCAGCACCTCTGCCCTGGTCCTGGCTCAGCATCTTCCATATGGAGAAACCCCAACACAGATGGGAAGGGCAGGCTGACTGGCTACAAAGGGTGAGGCTATGCACAGGGTTCTCAGGCTCCCTTATCTTAAAACTGGGTGATAACACAGTGACCTGTCATCCAGCAAAAAGGAGCCTCAGAGACGGCTCAGGTTTGCACACCCCAAACACTATATATACTCTTGTGTATATAGTGTTTGCACACATGTGTTAACTTCTAAGGTAGGTTTGGTGGGGTGCATAGCATGGGCTCAAGGTTGGGTGCATTCTGAAATTTAAATCTGCCCAACCCTTCCAATCTTTTTTTTTTTTAGAGAAAGAGAATTTTTTTAATATTTACTTTTTTTAGTTTTCAGCGGATACAACATCTTTGTTTGTATGTGGTGCTAAGGATCGAACCCGGGCCGCACGCATGCCAGGCGAGCGTGCTACCGCTTGAGCCACATCCCCAACCCTTCCAATCTTGCAAACCAGTGCTCGCTGGCCTCTGTCCTGACCTCCTCTTCCTGCCTTCCCTTGAGAAACTGGCAGGAAGTACCCAGGTACAGCTCAGGTTCCAGAAGGTCCCAAGTAGAGCAAACACCTCAGGTGAGCAGATGAGGTCACACTGCCATCAAGAGGCAGAACTGGGACCTAAGTCCCCAAGTCTCCAGTTGGGGGCTTTTGGGGCCACTTCTAATTGCCCCTCAAAATCACACACCACTGTTCTACTAGTTCTACTGAGGAGCAGAGTTGTAATTGTTATCCTTGCATGAATCTTTTTTATTGTCACAATTAATATCTCCTTGTGGGCTGGGGTTGTGGCTCAGTGGTAGTATACTTGCCTAGCACACTTGAGGCACTAAGTTCGATTCTCAGCACCATATACAAATAAAATAAATAACGGTCCATTAACAAATAAAAAGCATTTTTAAAAAAACAGAGCTGGGGATATAGCTCAGTTGGTAGAGTGCTTGTGTAGCATGCATAAAGCCCTGTGTTCAATCCCCAGCACCAGAAAAAAGAAAAAAAAATCTTCTTTGTAAAAATTTTAAATCCACAGAACCGTAGCAAAGAGGAAATGAAGGCCCTCTTTAATCTCCTCTTCCAATTCACTCTGCTCCCCAAAGGGTTCTCAGAGCAAATTCAAGTGCTTGTAATCCAGTATGTGTATGAACATGTGCGTGAGGGTGAGTGTGAGACCAGTAATGGTTAAAAACATGGGCTCTAGGGCCAGAGCACCTGGGTCCAGTCCCAGATAACTCCCCGGCAACCTTGGACACATTCCCATTCTCCCTGCGCCTCGGTTTCCTCACCTGTATTGCAGAGTCAATAATAGTACGCACAGCATAGGAGTTTTTGAGGAGGAAATGAGTTAATGCCTGCAAAGCATTTAGGACAATACTTGGCACATGGTAGGTAGACGCACAGCACATATGTGTTTTTATTAAATTTTATTTTACAGACACAGACATGCTGACACACAGGTTTTGATCATAAATAGAGGCAGACTTTCATTTTCTCTGAACTTGCTTTGCCTTAACATTACATCTTGGTGGCCTTTCCATGTTGGAACGGTATTAACACCACATAGTATTTCATGACATAGCAGCCTCGTGATCTAATCTCATTTTCATACACACTTAAGCAATTTCCAATATTTTGCTACTGCAAATAGCAGTCACAAACACCCTTGTGTATACAGTGTCTGCACACATCTGTCCTTCTAAGGTAGGTTTGGTGGGGTGCACAGCATTTGCTGGGCTCAGGTTGGGTGCATTCTGAAATTTAAATCTGCCCAACCCTTGCCAATCTTGCAAACCAGTGCTCTGAGGCAGCCCCCTGCCAACACGGAACAACCCACCATCCGTGTCCTGCCAACCCAAGAGAGACCTTTCTGGATGGTCCTGTCTGAATTTGAGGCAGTCTTAATGTTCTCGCCCATCAGCCATGAGCTTCTCGTCCTGACCCTCCGTCATCCTCATTCCCTAACTTTCATACCAGTTTTTTCAAAGGGCAGAAGTCAGAGCAACAACACTGATCTGGAAAGAAGTTCGGCTCGTGAGAAGTCTTGGCAAGTCGGATGGCAGCAGTGAAGACCAATGAGGGGACCAGAAGCTCAGGGGACAAATGCCATAGCCAGGACTATGCACAAGCAAATAAAGTCTGGCTCAGTTCTGGGTGTGTCTCTGGGCTGCTGGCAGCGTGCCCTGCAGTAGGGCACCTTCTGGTTTTAGTGACCACCAGCGGACATGTTCTGGGTGGTCTCATGAAGAGCCACAAAGACACACTGGGACTGGAACAGAGTTTCTAGGCAGAAGGAAAAGAGCCTGCCAGGAACAGGTCATGGTCCTTATGAACCATGTGTCACGGGGAAGGATTTTTTTTTTTTCCTTTTTCTTTTTTGATACTAAGGATTGAACCCAGGGCACTTAGCCACTGAGCTACATCCCCAGCCCTTTTTATTTATTTGTTTTTTTAAGACACCCTCGATAAGTTGCCCAGGGTGGCCTTGAACTTGCAATCCTCCTGCCTCAGCCTCCTGAGTCACTGGAATTACAGACATGCACCACAGCGCCCAGCTAAGGGGAAGGATTTCTGAAATGAGAGGCAGTGGCAGAGGGAACAGATGCCGAGGAGGTGGGGGAGAGCCCTTTAGAAGCAAATCTCAGCAGGTCCCAAGCAGGGAGCCTGGGGTGGAAGACCAAGAGACCTGGCATCCAGTCGAGGCCGGCACAACCTGGCCATGCAACCTTGGAGCCTCAGTGGTCCCACCCCAAAAATGGAACCGCTGAAGACAGGCTTCCCAGCCCATCCCAGGAGCCCGGGGTTCTGCATTGTGTTTTAAAATTCCCTGGGAAACAGGAAGAGCTTAGCAAGAAAACAGGATCATCCTCAGCTCAGGTGGGTGGAATGGGCACCCTGGAGGGTTTTGATTGACCTTAGTGTAGTCCCCATTGTGGACCACCAAGGGTGGGAACTGTCCCCTGTACACCATGATCAGTGTGGACAGATAACCAGGGCTTTCCTGACAGGTGAGGCTCAACCCCCATGGTCCTGAAGTTGAGTTTCCACCAACTGTGGTGAAATAGGGGTTTAGAGGCCAAATTAGGTTGATGAAAAAATAAAGCAACCAGGAGCTTCCAGGCTGAAATGTCTACAAGACACTTCAGGGTGCTCTGTGGACATGTCCCCAGAAGAAAGGCAAGCTTCCAAAGTCAGGGCTGTTTTTTTTTTTTTTTTAAGAGAGAAAGAGAATTTTTTAATATTTATTTTTTAGTTTTTGGTGGACACAACATCTTTATTTTTATGTGGTGCTGAGGATCGAACCCAGCGCCCGGCGCATGCCAGGCGAGAGGGCTACCGCTTGAGCCACATCCCCAGCCCCAGGGGCTTTGAGCTCTTAAATGTTTATAGCCCAAGAAATTCTCTGAGTTCTCCATTACGGAGCATCCAATAACTGTTGGGGTCGGGGTGGAACCCTAAGGAGGGTGTGCAGCCCGGAAGGAGCAGCCTTTTGTACTGGACAAATCCCAAATCTGTAATGTCTGTGGATCAATAAAAATTGCATTTTTCCCCCAAGATGCTTCTGTTCTTTCTCAAAATTGAAAAAGGCCGCCACTGTTCTTACCAATCTTGGTTTGGTCGGATGATTTGGGGGAATGATGGAGATTATGGGAAACCACTACCCACCCACCCGGCCACCCTCGGCCCTCCAGGCCACACAGTGACACTGGCCCCCACAGATGGGTGAGGGATGGATGGCCGAGCCCCAGAGCCCCTGAAAGTGGAGTCATGCCTTCATCTGGCCACTAGATGTCAGCTCAGCTCCAAAAGTCCTTGAGGGCGATGCTTTGGACTCAGAGGTTTCTTAAACCCGGGAGTCCTCTCCAATTTCTGCCCCAGGAGCCCAGCCTGAAACCTGAACCCCAAGGGTCAGCAACCTATGCCTGGGCAGACCTCCCCAGACCCCAAGTTCTCATGGTGAATCATGGTCACTGGTGACTACCTCGCGCCCAGGAAGAGAATGGGCCCCCAGGCCCAGCTCCTAACTAGTCCCTGCCCCAGCCTGCCCACCCTGGAGCTGGGCAACCCGAAGAGAGAAGGCTCTGTTATGGTATGACTGCGCAAGCCTGCAAGTTGGTACTGACCGCCATAGAGGCGGAGGGGCCTGGCAAGAGCAGCAGAGGGCAGCAGGATCAGGTATGGAAGGCCTCGGGCTGAGCCTCCTTCCATACACGACTCAGGTCGACTTTATGCACCAACGCTGCATCCTACCAGTGGCTGTGTGGTAAGCGCTTCTAATAAACCCATTTTACAGTTAGGGAAATAGAGGCATGGAGAAGTTCAGCACCCTGCCCAAGATCCCCCCAGCTAGTAATGAGCAATGCTGAGATTCAGACCCTGGCCCTGTGGCCCTGGCTCCCTGAGGTCTTTGAGATGATGCTTACTGGCCCCGTGCAGCTACGGAGCAGCTGTGGTTCAGCTGGGGAGGGGGCAGTTAGCTGCATGTTCTGTTGACCTCCTTTCTGCACCAGAATGAATAAGTAAACTAATAAGCAGAGGAGCTCTGGCCAGGCTGGACTGGCTAGTGGGAGAGA